AGAGAGAGAGAGAGAGAGAGAAGTTTCATTAGGTTTGCATTGCGTCCTTGAGTTCAGACGGATGAGCGAGTTCGCAAGTGAAAAAGAAAAAAAAAAAGAAGGGAGGTACCTGTTTTTATCTCACTTTTTGGTTTCTATATGCAAATGGATCATCATTTCCAATGGACATTCATGCATCCCCCCCACTTTTTTAGCTTCCCTTTTTACAAATGGACAAAGACCCAACACACCTCAACCATGGTTTGAGGTGGAAATGAGGCGCACCCTTACTAAAGGAACTAGCATGCAACAAGAACCCCAAAAATATGTACTAAGACACAACTGTAACCACATTCATCTGCACTACCCTATGCGTACAGGATCTGGAATTTCTTCTTAAAGCTATTTGCAAGGAGCTAGGTGAAACTACCATGCAGTCCATGTGAGTTGCTCATCCAGCATATAATTCTCGAGAGGTCAAGCACTTTAGTCCTCATTAACTCTGGCCATTTCAAGGGCATTTGGTTGAAAAGAGACAGATTATTCCTAACGGCACATAGGTTAGTGCTATATTGAGGGAATGAATAGGAAATACGGTGATTGAAAACTATGCCTAATGGGACATAAGTTAGTGACATATTGAGGGAATGAATCGTGAGATACAGCAATTGATTGGCCACGCCTTCAAGGAATCCAAGGGGCATAGAGCCAATCAATCAATTACCGAACCTGAGAATAGAGGACGTCAATTAGCAGTAGGGCTGGCAATGGGCCGGGCAGCCCGGCTTGGCCCTATCCTAAAAGACATGGGCCTAGGCCCCAATATGTGGCCCAAGCACCCGCCACCACGGCCCAAGGGTAGGGGCCAGGCCTATGGGGACAAGGTCGGGCCAGGGCTGGCCTAGCCCAACCGGGCCCATTACCAACCCTATTTAGCAGGAAGACTCAAAGTTCTCAACCTTGTACCTAGTAGGATAAACCAGTTCTATAGAGAACATATTATAAAAAATGGATCGGATCAGCCAGTTCAATCGGTTTTACCCGGTTAGGTCCTAACAAAAAACAGGAAATGGTGGAAAACAAGCCAAAATCCAGTCTGACTGGTCAGTCCAGTGGGTTCATGCTATTCACATGGAACCGACCAAGGCCTTTTTCCCATTTTTGGTTCCTTTCACCTCCATTTTTAGGCAAAAAACAATTCTTTTTTTGCTGTTTGGCCATCTTTTACGTGCGCTTTTTTTTTTTTTAATGTTACCTGGCTAAATAATTTTGACTTGACTTGTCATATTCAAACTTTGATAGCCATACTACTTGGTAGTACAGAACCAAGTATAAATGCCAAAGGGCTGAAACTCCCTCACATAACTGGTGTTGGTCTGTGTGTGTAAATTTCTTATTTTATTCATAGAAGGTCAGTAAAATGGTCTAACCAGTTTGACCACCAGTCTGACCACAAAAGATCAAATTGGACTTTTTTCTGGATCAATACCCAGTCTAGACTTGATAACACCGGGATAAACTATTTGACAGCTACTTCTAAGTCAAACTTTGATGTTTGTTCAGAAGGGAATCCAGACCTGGAGGGAGTGGGAGAATAACTTGAAAAAGTCAAGATAGATTACTGAAATACTTCTGCTAGCACTACGAGCATCGAAAATTCTAGTGTCCAATCGAGGGCCTTAGGGTATTTTCCCAATTCTTCTCAGATCAACTGGCAGTAGAGGGCAACCTTTTTTTTTTTTCAGATGGCACTACAAGAGGATGAGTACTGGTGGAGAATAGAAAACACCATGGAATAGATAATATATAGTCAAATGTTTCTTCCAATGTGATTAAGAAAGAAATGTGGAGGTGAATTCAATGACCTGTAGTGTGGTGTTGGATGAGCAAATCCCATCCATTTAGGGACAATTTCCTTCTTCCTTGAATTCTAATCCCAATACATCTCCATGCCACCATGGGTTGCATCATCAATGCAACTTGAGATATATCTTTCTTGAGCAGTTATGCTTGTTAACAGGTCTTCTTGAATTGAAGGAGAAATGCATTTGTACCGTATCCTCCAATAACCATGCCAACCAAAAGGTTGTCAAAAGATAGGGGCCAAGTACATAGTCTAGCAACATCATAGTATGTACAAAGGTCGAGGAATATTATAAGTATATACCTAAAAGTCCTGACATGGGATAGAATTCCAAATGAATATATTTGCGAAAATTTAGGTGTGGCACCAATAGGCAATAAGATGAGAGCGAGTAGACTTAGGTAAGCTGGCCATGTGTGGCGCAGACCAAGTACAATACCTGTTAAGAGGTGCAAGTTAGTTCAAAGCTCAAAAAAAGTAAAGGGTAGGCCTAAAAAGACATGGCTGGAAGTAGTGAGAAAAGATATGAGAACTTATGGCCTCATTGAGGGTATGGCCCTTAATAGAGCAAAATAGTGAACCAGGATTCGTGCAGCCGACCCCAACTAGTTGGGAAAAGGCTTTGACGATGATGATGATATTGATGATGATAACCTAAGAGTCCTGAAATTATGTGGTACTTAAATGCTTAGATTCACATTTGTCATTTGGTATAATGAAGTAGCTGCTGCGTTTTTTTAGGAGTTTAGTGAACAACCTTGATTAGAATGACAAATGAGTGTACCACAATCCTCCCACAAACATGCCCACCAAAACATTCCAGAGATGGAGCCAAAGTACATATTCCAGAAATCTGACTAACCAGTGATCAAAATCTTGGACATGGGTCGGACTCACTCACTGGGGCCTGAGCCCGAGTCAGAGGTCCTACTCAACTGAGTCTCACCAATAATCGTCCAAGTCTCACAGTAGGGTCCATGACCTAGTGAGACCAAGGCAAGCCCTGAGGTTTTCGATCTGGTCCTGGCACTCAGCGGTGCCAAGCTCGAAGCAACTCAAGAGAGACCGAGCCTGAGTCACTGAGTTTTAAAATACTGAAACTAACACTAAGCAGCAATATTTGAAAGATATATAGATACGACAAAGAGTGTTGAGCATGATTCGGAATTTTAAGGCCTCGATTCCATCTGCAAGTAATGGGGCAGTTGATGCATTTTTCAAAAGTTCAGCCAAATTTTAAATGATTGCAACCACTAGCAGTCAAAGTCCCAAATGTGAAAAATAAATTAATGATGAAAGAACAGTATGATAGTTTCTTATCACATCTATTTATCAGAAAACATGTGTCTAAATGATTCTAAGGAATACTAAGAAGATTCAGGATGCCTACTAATGTTAGAGCCACTGTTCTATCAAGCATCTTCCACATTACCCTCATTCTGTTCACGCAAGCACAAGCACATATGCAAATGCAGGTGCAGACAAAAGCGACAAGGAATAACAAAACGATCTCTTATAAAATTATAATAATATAGACCGGTCCATGTTATATGTGCACCTTCAAACAGTTGATCCAGATTTCACAATGAAAATGAATATTTGACAAAAGTTCAAACAAAAAAAATGAATATTTGACATTGACATGCTAAAGGATAAGCAAGAGGAGAAAGTAAGGACACATTTTTAAAAGAAATTACAAAACCATTTCACCTGAGTTGCTGAGTCAGCAGCAAAAGGAGACCGCAGCTTTCCATAATGTTGACAACAAATTTTCAACAAGGATAAAAGCAGCCTCAAATGCCCTCCCTCCCTAAAATCAGCCGAGGAAACTGCACAATTTGCAATCCTCTCATCTATCAATTTATACACATCCCTACTAGAAGCACTGCCACCGACAAGTGGGCCGGGGAAAGATTGTTGGCACAAGGCATGGAAGTAACTGCTTGCACCACTCCCATCCTTCATGATGTCATTCTTGTCCACCACAATGTCCATCAAATTAATAATTGAAATGGAGCCTCCCGCTGGGTCCTTTCACGTAAGAAACATGTTTTTTCAGTCTATTAGTAGTAGACATACCATAAATAAGCATGAACCTAAAATTGTGCGGTAGGAAGTAACTAAGAATTGCTCAATCCAATATAACATCTGATTTTCCATCAACAGAGTATGGTATTACTTGTCTAGAAAGAAAAATAGCAGAGTGTTTCAGTACACTTGTTAGTTTAAGAAAAAATAAAATGGAGCTTGAACAACTCACCTGACTTCCAATGGCAGCACTAGAACTGAAAGAATTATTTGGCTTCATAACCACAAGCTTTCCTCCAAAAGCAAAAGTAACCAAAGCATGATGAGGGCGTCCTGTGGTTGTTCTTCCTCCTGCCATACCATATGAGAATTGTGTATAATTTGAACTCACATTAGGAATCGATGGAGGAGAATAATCCACTGCTTTCTGATTTCCATAGAAATCACTGCTGACTTGTGTTTGCAACTGCTGATCTGCCATCATATTCTCAAACTGATAAGCAGTTTCTGCAGTGACAAAGTTTTGTGACTTTGCATTGGTGTGACTGTAATTTGCGGGAACATAAGAAGGCACCGTTGCTGTGTTCCCAAAACCCATTTGTTGTTCTCCATGACTTCTATCATGCCATGCTGAATTATACAAATTACTTTGACCAAGGTATTGGGAATCCCCACATTGGCCTGTAGAAGTCTGGCCAGGATACGACACATTCTGCTGTGGAAAACTGGTATGGACCTGGTCTTTAGCATGAGAATGACTACTCAAATATCCAGTCCATCCATCAGTTTGACCATGTTCACTAATAACAGGAGCTTCAGTGGCAATGGCATTAATCAATGAAACATTTGCATCCTGGGCTTGCTGGTTTCCAGATTTTGGGTCTATTTGTGTTGTATCAGATTGAGTTGTCTGAACATACGAATCCAAACTGCGCCATTCGTTGGTAAGCATGTCAAAGTACCAGCCGGGACATTGGGGGTCAAAATACATATGATTCGGGTAACCTGAATCACCTTGAGAAGGATTGTTGGTTCCCACAACTGATTCAGATGACTGATTCAACAAAGGCATCCCTGAACTATTCATAGATCCCTGGTTAGATATGCTAGCACCATCACCAGCGCTTGGATACCCCTGCCTGATACAGCTTTCTTGGTTAAGTGTTTTGGCTGCAATAACAGGAGCTTCGGTGGCAATGGGATTAATCAATGAACCCTTTGCATCCTGGGCTTGCTGGTTTCCAGATTTTGGGTCTCCTTGTGTCGTATCAGATTGAGTTGTCTGAACATACGAATCCAAACTGCGCCATTCATTGGCAAGCATATCAAAGTACCAGCCAGGACATTGGGGGTCAAAATACATATGACTCGGGTAACCCGAACCACCTTGTGAAGGATTGTTGGTTCCCACAACTGATTCAGATGATTGATTCGAGAAAGATGTCACTGAACTATTCATAGATCCCTGGTTAGATATGCTAGCACCATCACCGGTGCTTGGATACACCTGCCCGATACAGCCTTCTTGGTTAAGTGTTTTGGCTGCAAAAGAACTTGACGCCGACTCATAGTGGCTGTCCACCTGATACCACATCTTGTTTGTCCAGTCATACTTCCAACCAGGGTAAAGACTTTCGTAGTGTTGAATACTGTACACATCTTGCCACCCATCAGTTGTATTACTAGTATTTACACCATAGGATTGATCGTTGCTATTGCCAGAGGAATTCCATCCATCTTCCTCTGTTTTAGTTCCTTCTTGTCGCAATTCAGTTGAGGAGACAAAAGTAACCGGATTGTTTCTATAGAAAGAAGATTGGGCCTTGCTCATTGACGCAGGATCATCTTGATATGTAGTGGAACTAAACGTAGTAACAGGGGCCTGATTCCTATTAAGGGTAGGGTCATTTTTGGGTTCAAAGTATGCTGGTATATTGCTATTTCCTGAACCTCCATTAGGATCAGCTAAATCACCTTCCAATTCACTGTAGAAGTCAGAGTAGGAACCAAACCCACCAGCATCAGTCTGAGTAGACACAGCATAAAAACTACTCCACTGTACCTCCTTCACACATGTCTGGGTAACATCACTCCCTCTTCTAGATTCTGACTTATTATGATCAACCCCACCAATGGTCTCACGCCTTGAATATGGTGTGGCATTGGGATCAAGGCCACCATTAACTTCAAAGCCTAAATGGGGTGCGACCTTAGGAATAGCGCTACCATTAATGTCAAACCCCAATAAGGGTGTGACTGAATCGCTTCTTTCCACAACTGTGTTGAAGACAAATGAATCAAAGGATCTCAAAGAGACGCTTTCCTCAGCAACCAATACATCCTTTACAGGGTCATCTGGTGCTTTATCAACACAGTCTCTTAAGTCTTCGTGGGTTTCTCCACTAGTTCCCATATCCTCAAGACTTAACTTTGAGAATGCTTTGTCGGGTAGCTCACTTTCGGTATCATTAGCATCAAGAACTTCTGTCATATCCTGACTAGAACCAACTAAAATAGTTTTCTTAAAAGACGAACTGGTTATTCCATCATCATCATCATTGACAAGTTTGTCAAAGAAATCCTCGTCTGTTTGATCCTCCACTTCAAATGGAGGAGATGCCATAGGGAATGCAGGTGAGCTTTCTATCTACTCCTAGACCTTACTCTCTTTGGCCAGATATTTCAATATCTCACACTGTGATTCACTAAAATTCGAAGCAAAATCAACACAAACGCCACCATATTTCACTAATTTTCCTAGCAAACCATACCTGTCATTATACACAACACCTGAAATATTCAACTGAATACATTCACAAATTGGAAGGTAATAATAAAATTCTAGATTGGGACTTGAATAAAGCAGAGAAATAAAACTAATAAACAAACAATGACTAAATTAGTACCAATTTTACTTAAAGTTGGGTCAATTTCAGACAATTCAAACATTAAAAAAAATTCAGAATATTCAAACAAATTTTCGGGGGTAAAGTAAACAAATTTCAAACATTATGTCTACTCCAGATTGGGTGTTTACAAAATCAAAGACAAGAGCACAGATTGAAATAATTGATTGCATTAGTATTTGATGCCAACTAAATTTTGATCTATTTTAGAAGAATCAAACATTAGGTCTGCTCAAAAAAAAGTAAAATATATATATAATAACATAAAACCAAAACAAAATAAAAACCCATACAAAATTTTACCCAAACAAGCATCCAATTCTGAGCAAAATTCGGTCAATCTCTGGAGCTTGAAACATTTCATATCGACAAAAAAATGGCAGAATGAATTCTTTCGTACCCTAAGCATCCACATATAAAAAAAATTGGAGAAAAAAACCAAACAAATAAGCAATTCGAACCAAAATTGGGTGTTTCCAAGAAGTTCATTAAACCAGGTTGGAAACAAACTTTGCAATCAGATATTTCCCCAAAAAAATCGAAGCTCTAACAGCAGGAAAGCATGCGCAGATTGCCCTACAATCAACACTATTAGAGAGGAAATAACAAGGGGAAGATGGATCAGATAATAACTTACGTGTTTAGGATAAGGAATTGCAGAAATTGGGGTTTCGAAGAACCACAAGTGCAGAGAACTATAGCACAAACCCTAGAAATCGCAGATACTTCCTGGTCTCCCTTCTCTGTGAATGCTTGTGTATCTCCTTCTCTTTCGTTTTTTTATTTTTGAGATATTAATACTTCCACAGTCGTTTTTGTTTGGGTGTAAATATCAAAGGAGCGGCTAATTAAGTTTCTGACAAATTTAGGAAGAAGACAAAAAACCGCTACTCATTTTGTTTAATGACAAAATCATCCTTATCACTGTGTTTTTTGTTAGGGAGGAATTCACATGAGGTTACGTTAAATTGGTTCTAGATCGGACTGGAGCAGTGACAGGTGATTGGATTAAGCAATGTCTTGGATCAGATTTTGGTTCTAGATCGGACTGGAGCAGTGACAGGTGATTGGCTTAAGCAATGTCTTGTTAGTTGGATCAGATTTTGGAAAAAAAAAAAAGAAGGAAAAGAAGAAAGAAGAAGGTGTAGTTTGTGTAAGTTGTAATATTAAACAATCAAAGTAAGGTGTACCTCCAAACTTATTCATGAGATGCAATTTTGATATTAAAAATTTATAGGATGGTGCGAGAATTAGTTTTTATCTTAGTTATAAAAATTTAAATTTCAAAAATGATTCAAATGAAATAGATCTAATCAAACATGAAAATCTTGAAAATAGACGGTCCGAATAATATGTTACAAGATATATTGTTTTTAATGGTCAAACTGGTATAATCAATTAGCCAATAATGTACCACTATTTTGCAAGATGTGCCACTAATGTACTTGCAAATGAATCAATTAGTGGTCAAATTGGTAGAATCAGCCAATTGGGTCTAGTCGTGAAATATATGTTATTCAGTGTTTAAAAAGTTCGACTGGTGAGTCAAATTGGTCATCCATCGGTCTCGAGTTGAATCGATTGAATTGTAGCTAGCTAACTCAACCAGCTTAAAAAAAAAAACAAAAAAAAGTAAAATCATCTATCCAAAATCAAATACTTGATTTCATCTTATAATAACTCAAAATAAAAATAAAAAAATTTTAAATAAGAAACACGGTGGCAAAAAAATAACAGAAAAACAAAAAAATCGTCATAGGGATTTTTTATGTCAATTTTAAAAAGTTTGTTAAGACTTTCTAGAACAATGTCATCGGAATACTATGGAACAAATTTCCACATATTTGGTAAAACAATAATAGAGAAATATAATATTTTCATTTTGTAGTTAAAAAAGAAAATAAAAATTGGACTCTCGGTTTTTTTGCATTTTACTTTCCGATTCAATGAATTGTTATAAGTGTATGTTACATGATTCCCAGGTGATTTAAAAATTTCTAAATTGTTTCATTGAGAATGGACGGAGATTGAAGAGTAGTTGATCGATTATAGGGTTGAACAATAACAAGACTTTATTGAAAGACTCTCGCCAAAAGTGATAACTAATCCAAATAGACTTGATTTGGATTTAAAGCACGGCTAACAACAACTGATCAGTGCTGAAACGAACCAAACTGCGAGGTAAAATAGATGGGATCAATTATTTGATCCAAAAAGTGTCGTCCTTAAGTTTTACTATTTTCTTGTTGGAAAAGTTTGCTCGAGTCCAAGCAAGAACGGGTCTAGTGCCCGGCTGGTCTTGGGCTAACTCCGACAACTCCAAGTCGACTCTACAAGTTTTTATGTACGGATCGGGTTTTTTATCGCTATAACGGTATGGCCCAAAAATAAATCATTATTATCCGGAAAGACGCATTCACGATTTTTTGAATTTTTTTTTGTTAAATTCGCCCTGGTCCAGCAGCTTTATTTGTTTGCTCTTAATAACCCTTCAAGCAAGCGGTCAGTGAAATCATTTCCAGTTGCATTGATGCTCAGTAAGCCAACAACTGTGTCAAGGCCCAACGGGAAGCCGCCGGAAAATAAATTATGGCTGAGGTCGAGGTCTTTTCCGATTCATCTATGTCAACGCTTTATCTGGCTCCTCTCAGTTTTCCACCTCTTCGGTAATGCGTTGAACAGGGGAGGATGCCAAAGAGATTCAAGAGAGAGACGAGGAGGTGATAGGTTTGTCATATCTTATACTGCTCACGCTTAACCTTAAACTAGATTCACATGTATTCAAGTATATCTTTAATGGTGAGGCATACGTGAAGCATATGTTTTATCTTATTCACATGTTTTCAAAACAATAAACCTCTATTGATATTATTGCAGTGAATTTAAGTGAAAATCACTTATTGTCACTGATATCATGTATTGTTTAATGGATTGATGAGCGCATATTGTTTAGTTACATGCATTTTGATAAACATGTATTGTTTAAAGGATTAGCATGTATATTTTTGTTTAAGAGATTGTTTGGAATTACAGAGTGATATGGAATGATAGATATTTTAGATTTCATATGGTAAAATTTTGTGTCACATAGATTTAATCGCCTTTGTGAATACAATAAACGGTCGAATTTTTTTTTTTAAAGATCAGTGGCTGCAAAAATTTGTTTGCTAATTTGTTGCCTTATATATTGTTGATATTTCTATTATAAAAGACATCAGACGAATCGGTGTTTGTACCAGAAATCTTTTTTGTAATCCATTTCTGGGTCTATTCATGAGATAGTGCCAAGATACTTTGATATGTTTTTGCAAATCGGATGATTCGTATACATTTTGCTAATTAATTGAATCGACTAATTAGTCAAAAGATCAATGAAATTCTATCATCTCTGTGAATAAAATAATCCATACGGTTGAATTTTCTTTTTAAATATCAGTAGCTACAAAATTTTTTTTGCTATTTTGTTGAGTCAAAAGATCAATGAAATTCTATTGCCTCTGTGAATAAAATAATCCATACGGTTGAATTTTCTTTTTAAGTATCAGTTGCTACAATTATTATTTTTTGTTATTTTGTTGCCTGATATATTATTGATATTTGTATTATAAAATTAAAAATAAAAATAAATAAAGAAGTAAAAAGAAGAAAAAACGAAGGTCTCTCAAAAGAGGCCCTATCTCATCTTCACATGATGCTTTCAAGTTTCAAAACAGCATGCAAGGGACTGGAATTGAGGCATTAACCTCTTGTAAAAACATCTCCACATCTTACCAACATGATATTTTATTATTGTATTATTTAGCCATTTTATTATATATAAACTTATTTATTGCCCTTTTTTTTTATTGTTGATATTTGAATGCAATTAATGCACTTACTTTGGTGTCATATAGAAATTGATACTTGATATTTGCTCTTTTATTATAAGGGCTCACACACTTTGATATTGCTCTTGCACCCTTGATAAATAATATAAAGAGGAATTTTTTTTATATTACAATTGACAATTATACTGCTTGGTTATAGTTTTGGACAATGCCTATTTCATAATTTTTTTTAAGGCATCAATTAATAATTAACATTATTTATGAAATAATTGTAGCTCTCTTTGTAGAAGTATTAATCACATATTAATTTTGGTGCCTTGTTTAGCTTCTTTAGAACTTAGAAAGAATTATTTTGCTCACACAAATCTTAACAAAATGACCAGTAGAATTGTAATGGCTGAACTTTCTGAAGTTGAAAAATTGAATGGAAATAATTTTGGGATGTGGAAGAGGAAGATGAAACATCTTCTTATCCATGATAGAATAATATATGTACTAAGAGAAGATCCACCAGAAGTTGGTGATAAACCAACTGAAGAACAAAGAAAAATGCTAGAAATTTTATTTGAAGATGACCTCATAGCAAAAACATCTATGTTATCTTTTGTACAAGATGACCTTATTAAGGCTTTCGAGCATCATGAAACATCTAAGAAAATGCTAGAGGAAATAAAAATTAAATATGACTCAACCTCTGAAACACACATCCAATTGATATTAGAGCAATATAATTCATTTAAGATGAAGGAATGTAATAATGTAGTGGAACATATTAACAAGATGCTCGTTATGGCTAAGCACTTAGCCATTGCTGGGAATAAAGTCCCCAAGCAGATGCAAGTTTCTACTATTTTAAACAGTCTTCCACCTTCATGGAGGATGGTAACAATTACACTTATGTTGAATGTAAAATCTCTTATATTAGGAGACCTACCTATGCAACTAGCCTTAAAGCAAGAGCGTATGAACAAAGATAAAAGGAGTGAACGAACAAAGATAAAAGGAGTGAACTCATGCTTACTCAATGTCCTCCCAAATTTAGCCAATCTAAGCCATATAATTAGAAATTTCAAGGGAAGTTTAATACGATGAACAATAGGTCCAAAAACAGAGGAACTAAGCCCTGCAACCAATAATCTAAACAAGGACTGTCAAAATGCTTCCTATGTGGTCAGTTATGACACTTCAAGAACCGCTACCCACTAAATAGAAACTCGCAAAACCCAAAGAATAGCGGGAATGAAAGTAAGAGGCGTGAAGTTGTTTGTGTGGTCTTTGAGTGCCTGATGGCAGACCACGATATCAAATGATGGTGGGTGGCCTTAGACGCTAATCGGCATATCGCAAGCTTAAAAGGCCTCTTCACGGACTTTCAAGGTATAAAAGTTGGGGAGAAACGCATCTACATAGGGAACAACACATATTCTGATGTATGTAGGAACTTGTAAGTTGCATGTAGGGACAATTGACATTGTATTAACTGATGTATATTTTGTCTCTTATATGATACGAAATATTGTATCTGTCCCTTTGCTCATTAGAAATGACTTTGAAGTCCACTTTCGATCATTGAAAGTATCAATCGGAAAGCGTGGACAAATTTATGCTTTATGACACTTAGTTGATGACCACAACATGTTTCTACTTCATGTAAAGGAGAAAGCTGATAATAAAATTTTATCTTATTATGATTATATTGATTGTGTAATGGTTGTTGATGCATATACTTGACATCTTAGGCTTTGTCAAATAGGAAAAGACAAAATAAATAGATTAATAAAGAAATGTCTTATTCCAAATCTAAATAATGTCGAATTTTCAACATGTCTACACTGTTTGTCAAGAAAAATGACTAGGAAATCATTCAATAAAGGGGAGAGAGTTAATGAATTATTGAATGTGGTCCACTCAGCTATTTAAAGGCCCCTCAATTTTAAAACTCATAGAGG